TGCAAAGCTGGAGCAGGGCCTGCTGCTCTCACCTTCTCAAACACCTCACTGTCCTCGTAGTTGAAGACACGGAAGGCCCCTCGGATCTGCGTCACCCCAGGGCACAGCAAATGCATCATGTTGACATATGCCACCCCATGGAAGGCAATCGGCTTGTCCTCATCTTTCTGGAAACACAGAGCAAGGCACTGAGGTGCTGAACACACTGTTATTCTCCTTAAGGGAACAAGGTCAGCAATCTCATTAAGAGAAGGCCACACAGCAAACTGATGCACCTGATGAGCCCATGGCTCTGTCACTGGCACGCAGCCGAGACAACCTGGATGAACACACTGGAGTCATTCCATATGTAGAATATTAATTTTATCCCAATCCCCATGGGGCAGCTTTTCTCTCTGATTCCTGCACTCTGCTGCTCCTCAGGGTTGAGATACAGCTGCTGCTCTTGTTGAGATACAGCTGTGTGTGGTTAGAAACCCAGGTGATCCTACCAGAGTTGTGCATCTCAGGTTGGACAGGCACCAAGGGGCTTAGGAGGTGTGGGAGGCCTGGCTAGAGGGATCATCATCAGAGCTGCAAAATCCTGGCACTGTGAGTGCTGAAAGGGATTTACACCAACTTATAAAGCTTTGCCCTGGGATAGATTAGGAGCTCTCACACAATCATCTGCCAGGAGCAGAACCATTCTCTAAGGAGCTGTTTCTCTGTTAAACCACCCTGGTATAGATGCAAAAGCATAACTTACCTACAGCCTGAGAAAGAATGCAAGAACCTCCTCAAGCTGTTTCAAAACCCCACTGGCCACAGATCAGCTCAGTGAATTACTTTTAATTCTCTTCAGAGCCAGGTTGGTCAAGCCTCTGAGCCACCTGGTCTGTGGAAACTGTTCCTGCCTGTGGCAGGGGGTTGGAAGGAGATGGAGCCCATGGTCCCTTCCAACCCAAACTGTTTTGTGATTTTAGAAGTCACCCTGTTCCCTTTCCAGTGAGCTACCACAGACCATCAGTGAGAGCTATAAGGAATAAATATGACTCTGTATCTATTTAACAGCCCTATAAAGCTGATTTTTCACAAAGCCTCCTGCTCTCTGACTCACTTTGGCAGCCTCAAGGCCGATTTTGCTATCACAAAGGCCTCAAGAGGAAAATGCCTGCTCATGCAATGTTCCTCCACAAGCCAGACCCCACTTTTACCTTGTCAGGTTTGTTGCCTTTCCCCTTGCCACCTGTGGACATCCTGCAGAGCTCCACGGGCCAGTGGCGGCGCTCGGCAATGCGCATCTGCAGGCTGGGCACAAAGGATGCACTGAGGAGATGCAGGAACCCAAACTGGAGAGCCCCACCACCCCCCTCTGTGCCCCAGCAGCTCCCCTCGGGTTTGCTTCACCCCATTCCCTCAGCAAACACTCTCAGGCCATGGGAACACTGTGATTTCCTGCTCTACCCACTGCTGTGTGCATTTATGGCACAGCCAGCTTTAAAACAACAGTGAGAGCAACACATTGGGCTTTCTCTCTCTCCCAGTTACTTCAGAAATAAGTGAGAAGGAATGTGATTAACTTTGGTATAAAACCTGAATTGTACAGAGCAAGTGGATCTTGAGCTTGCATTCAAAGTGGCTGGTGACTCTGACAGCAGCAGGCAGGTGGATGGATGTGTAGGGAAAATAATTTTAAAAATCAAATGAGATAGAAGTGAGTATTTCCACACAAGGAGTAATTTGGCAGTGAAATGCACAGCCATGATGCAGCTGAGGCCAGAAAATAGCAGGATTCAAAGATAAATGGAACACTCATCCTGATCGTGAGCGTATCTGGAGCTGCTAAAGGCAACACTTATCCAATAAAAAAGCAAATGAAGAGTGCCCACATGGAGTGAAAGGTTTGAATGTATTTGGGATTCAGTAAAAACTTAATTAGCAGCTCAGAGGAGAGCTGTGGATGCCACTCTAGTCCAGGTCTGCTCACCATAACTGCTGCCCCTTCCTTCAAGCTATGCAGGCACCGGCCCCCAGCCCCAGCTGCTGGCAGCAGGAGAGAGCATTTGTGGCCTGGAGATAGCAGCTCCAGACAATCCATCTTTTCCCAGCACAGCAGAACAAAGCTGCTGCCAGCAGTTCAAGGCACTTCAAGAGCTGTGCCCTTGCTCAGGTGAATGCTTGTGGCCAAGAGACAGCCACAGCAGCCATGGCAGGTGGGGCAGAGCCACAGTTTGACCCCTAAGTGGTCCAAGAGCAGCTGCATGTGGCAGCCCCTTGCCTCAGGTCACTCTGAGCATGTTCTGGGCTGGGTTGCTCAGGTCCCTTACACGGCCACAGCATCAGCATCCAGGAAACAGCGTGTCTCCATGTCCCACACGACCCTCCTGGAGCTCTCTGCCTGGGTCCTGAACTCCTTGTCCTGTGGGAAACAGCGTGCAGTCAAAGCCAGCACAGCAAACTCCCCAGCCTGCATCATCCTCAGAAGCGTCCCCAGGAGAGAATGTGAGTCACACAGAGGTGCCCAAGTGCCCAAAGGCAGGCCAGCCCTGCAGAGAGGCTGACAGCCTTTCCTGCAGACACCATCAGTGCTAAGTGCCTGCCTCACTGGAGATAACCCAGCTCAGCGTGGGTGTTTGCTGGGACCAGACCTGCCACATTCTCCCTTGGGATGTCTCCAGCAGTGAGCCAGCATGTCTGCTGCCCCAGGAGAACCACCTCTGTGCTGGACACTGCACAGTGACCACCCACCTCCCTCTCATACCAAGTCTCTCCATCCCTCCTGGTTCTCTCCTAAACTTGTCAGTCCTTCCTCACCTCACTTTTGTTGAGGTCTCCATCCTCATCCTCATAGGGCCCACCAACAATGAAGGAGTCAGGTATGTTCAGAGCATTAGGGGCCAGGATGGGGCCAACAGGCCAGTTTTTGGGCCGGGGAAATGGTTCTTTTTCACCACCAGCCTTCAGGAGGCCATTCTTGAAGAGCAATGGCAATTCTTTCTAGAGACACAGGAGAAAAAAAGGATTTGCATTTCTAGCAGGAGCAGGAGCAAGAGCCAGCTGCTCCAAGCTGGGATAACAAAGCAAAGCAACAGTACAGGGTGCCTGGCTTGGAAAATGCACTCCACCGCACGCACACAAAGAATGGAATAAAAATAAAGAGCCACGTGGAAAAAAACCCTGCCAGTTTGAATCCAAATCTTTCCAAACAGACCTTTGTTTGTGTTAAAGAAACACATCACACCACAGAGACTCTGAGACCTCCCAACAAAGGCTGCTGGTGCACAAGCACGGAAGCTGTGCACCCCACGTGCCTGGACACTTGTTCCACGGGGTGGGAGAAGAACCCAAACCCAGCCAAACCCCCTGTCACTGTGCCTGGGCCATTCTCACCTCAGCAGCTGCTGGCACTTGCAAGCAAACCATGTAGTTTTGCTGGCTGTCAGCAGTAAAGGCATCAGGAACAGAATAAGCTGCCTCCACAGTGACACTCAGGAGGTTCCCACTTGAGAAGTCGGTGGCAGAGAGCAGGAGCTCTCTGGTGCTCACTATCACTTCAAGGCCAGCCTGTGAGACAAAGATAAAATCAAGCCAGTAAACAATTATAGCTTGCCTGCTCTTAGGGAGAAGCAAGCAGAAACCCAAGGCCAGAGCATATAATGTTATCTTGTGCCTCATCTTCAATGTAAAAGAAAACAGCCCAGCACAGGAAAGGAATCTCAGGACCAATTTGGCTCAATTGTGGTGTTTGTTTGTTTAAATCACAGCCTGGCCAAGGTATGGCACATGCCCCAAGGGTCTCACAAAATAAGCTGTGGGGAAAGAGGCAGGGTCTCATGAAAGGAGCCACAGAGTAAGAACATCAAGGGTGGAAAATGATGTTTTTCCCCTGGTGATTCAGAGAGCCACAGCTTTGCCTCTGCCCTATCTCCATGCTCTGTGTGCAGCCTTTAATTACCTGTCCCAGCCCTGGATGGATGGTGTGTGAGGGAAAACCAGCTGGTCAGCATTTATTACCTGTCCTCCCTAATGAGTGCCCCCCCACCTTGCTCACTGTGAACTCCTCTTAAACACAGAGCTGTTAATGGGATATCCACCCCTCCAGTTTGCTCCTGGTGCTCACTGCAGGCAGGCTCAGCAGCAAAATTGGACACATTTTCCCAGCCTCATGCTTCATTCCTTATTTTAGTCACTGGGTACTTTGCAACCTGCTGAATGAATAAGGACCTTGCAGGAAAGGCAGTCAGAGTTTGTACAATAATGGACTCAGGCATTTATTTGCAGAAAGGAAGGCTAATAGAGCTGGGCAGGTGACCCTGCCGCTGCCTTTTGGGGGGTTTTCAGCACTGTGCTTTCCATCTTTGTTATTTTTTGCAGAGCAATTGAGTAGCTGCACACATTAACATTTCCCAGCACGACCTCACCTATCAGAGGGAAGCAGGGACAGACGTCAGAGGGAGCGGGAAAGGCCTCCAAGCCTGTAACATATAGGGCTGCACCACATCCGTGATGAGCCAGGCAGCTGAGTCATGCTCTCCCTCCCATTAAAAAGCAGCAGAGAGCTGAATGAGGGAAGGAACAGTTCCAAATTCCACATACCGTGGCCTCAGGGCAAAGCTTCGCTGATGGGGAGGCAGGCACTGCATACAAAGGAGCTAAGACCTTCAGTGAACGCGCTCCTGGGAAGAAACAGGAATGAGAACAGCCTCAAGTGAGACCCTCTGCAAAGAATCACAGTCTGGATTGGAAGGGACCTTAAAGATCACCTTGTTCCAGCCCCCTGCCATGGGCAGGAACACCTTACATGAGGCAAAACCATGGTTCTGAATTTTGATTTCATTCTGAATAAATTCTGAATGCTGAGCTACTCTCTCTCCCCCTGGGTCAGATTTTGCAGAGCTATGAAGGTTACTTTGTCCAAAGGAGATAAATTGTAGTCAGGGGTCCATAAGCAGAGATCAGAAGGTGCCAGGGAGCAAGGAGTGGTCATGGAGGCTGTAAAACTCAATGCTGTACCTTGCAGCAGAGGCAGAAGGTCCACCACAGCTTGGGCAAGAGGAGTGATTTTGTCTGGTTTTTTCTTGTCCTTTGATGTCACTTCTAGCAGTGTCACTAGGGAGATAAAAAGAGAGGAGCTGGCAGAATTCCTTGGAGCAGCAGGTCAGGCACCAAGGAAGGTCTGTGCGAGCTCTGGCACCAGCTCCTCTTCACCTCCCAAGGCTGACAAGCACAGCAAAGCCAAAGGAGCACGGGCCAACATGAAAGGGGATTCTTCCAGCTGGCAGAGATGGACAAGAAGTGCTGAGAGCCTCCCACCACTGCTGCTGAAGTGCTATTCCTGAACCAGTGACTCCTGCAGCCACAGCACCCAGCTCCAAGGTGGGAGATCTGGCAGCAGCTACTTACAGAGCACTGGTTTCTGCACCAGGATGTCCAAGGAGTTGGGCCCCTCGGGGCTGTACTCAAAGCTGCTGCTGAAGTCGTACTCTGCTGTCCCATCTGGCAGCACATGAGTCTTGGAGGAGTCTCCCAGCACTGCTCCGTTGTACTCCACACGCACCAGCGTGTAAGCCAAGCTGCTTTTGAGGGTTTTCTGTCAAAAAAAAGAGAGCTCAGAGAGCAGCTGGCTCTGCAGCAGCATCCCAGCATCAGAGTTCCTCTGGCAGCAGGAGGGAAATTTCCTCTTTCACCATGCTGTGATGCCCCAAAGATTATCAGGAGCTGTGGCAAGGGACGTAGAGAGGTTCAGGCTGTACCTCAGGAAAGGCACATCTAAAACAAATCCCAAAATACTCCACTGATATTTTTGTACTTCCAAAGGAAGCTTGAGACCTTTGCTGTCTCCTAAGAAAGCAGCTCCTGAGCTACAGGGATGGGCTCACAGGACACCTGCGGATGTCGTGTGGTGCAAAATGTCCTGAAATGGACAAGAGAAAGCAGCCTTGAGTTGTGCCAGGGGAGGTTTGGGTTGGATATTAGGGGAAATTTATTCACTGTAAGGGTGGTCAGGCACTGGCACAGGTTCCTCAGGGAAGTGGGAGAGTTCCCATCCCTGCAAGTGTTCAAAAGACAGTGCATGTGACACTTGGGAACATGCTTCAGTGGTGTCCTTGGCAGTGCTGGGTTAAAGGTTGGACTTGATGGTCTCAGTAGTCTTTTTCCAACCTACATGATTCCATGATTCTGTGAAATCAAAGGAAGGGCTCCAGCAAGCTCTTAGGGAGCTCTGCAAATTGTTGTTACACCATTTTCATACCACTTGCTTTAATCAGAGATGAGGAGATTCAGATTTTACTTTGAATTTCAAATGTCTAAACAGAGGGGCTCCAACCGGGCTGGAGAGGGACAGTGAGGGGACAGCACATGGCACTGGGGACCCACAGGGGCAGCACTGGGCACCCCCACAGCACAGGCAGGTACCAAAGGGCTCCCTGCAGCACAAACACAGTTTAGCTCTCAATCCACAGAGAACTGGCTGAACACAGGGGCCATTGTACCCAAACCCAGCTTTTCCTTAGTGCTGGGCCACCGGGATGCCTAACCCGCCCTCAGCTCCCTCTCTCCCTGTCACTGGGGTAATTAGTTCCATGCTGGTTCTTGCACAAAAAGAGATCTCTTTCACTTGGTTTTAATTTTCAGCCCTTCTCACTGTCTCCTTGAGCATACATCCCATGAATGGCTAAACAGAAGAATCCAATTAACCTTTCCCTGTACCATTAATTATCCCAGACTCCTCTCTCATCCTTCTCTACATTGCCTCTAATTAAGCAGATTCCACACTTATAGCCAGAAGTGGATTCCACATTCTTACAGCCGGGTTTTTTTTCATCCTGTTGCTGTGATTATTGCCCTTTTGTAACCCCCCCCTCCCTTTTGTACAGCCCTTTCTCACGGTGGAGCAATCAGAAGCACAAAGCAACATTCCAGATGCAATCAATCCAGCAGTCTGTTCTCCCCAGCATTGTTTATCCTCCTCTCACCTCACACCTCACCTAAGCTGCTGTTTGCTGAATCCATCAGTGTAAGAGGTACTTCAATACTACAATGTGAAAGCCTCAAGCAGGTGCTTTTGGATTGCTTTTTCTGTCTGCTGCTGCAGCAGAAGCAGGGATTTGCATTTTTTCTGCTTGCAGCAGGAGCTGAGCTTCTCCTCCACATTCCCTCCCAAATGCCAGTTCCTCTGGAAGACTTTAAGGACAGCTGGGTGCATCACATGGAAATCACAGCAGTGGTGGTTTGATTGGCACCAGCTCATAGCCTTTGAACTGGATCCACTGCCTTTTTAAAACCAGAGCCACCCTATTGCTTTCAATATGATTTAAACAGCTGGAGCTGGGATGAAAATCTGGCTTTACACCCAAGGTGAGGTCCTTCCACAGGTTTTTGTCTCACTGATCACATTTTTGCTGTGTTCTGCTTTAAAAACCTGCCATTTCCATAGAGTTAGAGGAGGCAGAGAGGTGCATTTCACCCCAGTATCTCTGGCCTGCTGCTAGGGAAGCGTGTTCCCCAATTTATCTGCCTCACAAGATTTTTCCTCGGTGTGAACTCCTCAGCAGGGAGGAGGAAGCCACAGTGTGACATTGCTGAACCTCTGATACTCCCACCACTCCTTCCTTTAGCCTTATCACCCCCTGCCTGCTCTCACAGGGGATCCCTGTGCACACAGAATTGCTCTGGCCTTGTTTATTAAATGAGTAGAGATCTTTTCAGAACTTTACCAGGTCCTGTGCACTCACGACCGTGATCTGTACTGGTATTGGCTGTGCCATACTGGGAAGAGCTGCAGCAGCAGGCTCCTTCCCACCAGTCAGCCCCGCAGGGACCTCCTCGGCTCTGCAGGAGAAAGAATGAGGAAAGAAACATGAAACTGCTCCATTCCTCTCCCAGATACCTCTGCAGGACACAGCAGTGCGGGCTGCAAGCGCTATTCAGGGCTTGGCTGTCAAAACACCATTGAATGTGCAGAGCTTTGGCAGTGACGAATCTCTCACGAGGTGCAGGGGGAGGACTGGGAAAAATGTAATGTGAAAATTATCCATCTCTGTAAGCTTCACCCAGCTGCTGCTCCCAGGAAAGGTTTGTTGTGCCAGGCTGCTCTCGGCTCCCAGTACATCCCTGGCTCTCTTTTACTCCCTTTTTATGTTAATGGTGACCCCATAGGCCAAAGGCTGGCGGCCACCAGCTGTCCCCTCACAGCTCCCAAATGCTGTGGGGACATGGCTCCTTCCTCTCCTCAGGTTAGTGAAACACTCAGGGCTCCCCAGAGACCCCACAGCCCACTTGCCTCAGACCCACAGGGCCTGGCAGCCCCCTCAGGGCAGCATTAATGGGCTCGGGGCTCCTCTCACCCTGGTGTGTCCTGCAACAACTCACCCACGGGCCTGGCGGTTCTCCTGCCACAGAACGGTCCTACAGCCCCTCACCAACCCAGGGGTCTGCAGCAGCCCCTCAGCCCTGGGCCTGTCGGTTCTCCTGCCCCAGAACGGTCCTGCAGCCCCTCACCGACGTTCCTTGGGGTTTTCCCGACCTGGGGTGCACCTACAACCCCCGAGCCCCGGGTCTAGGTGCTCCGCTGATTCGAGGGCTCCTCACCCACGGGCCTGGAAGCTCTCCAGCCCCAGAACGGTCCTGCAGCCCCTCACCCACAGCTCTGGA